TTCTCAGTGCTGTGCTTTAACCCGCTGCGCCACCAGGGAGGGCCCAACAGATACATATTTTTAACGAACTTGTGGGTGATTCTCATGCAACACTGGTTCCGCATCCTTGAGGTTCTTTCTGTTGGTGCCAAGAACCAAGGCCCGGAGAGCTGCCTGGTGGGGAGACTTTCCCAGGTATGGCTAAGGGGCTGGACTTTGTCTTTCAGGGGAGAGCAGTGTGAAGGGCTTAATGTTGGGAAGTGGCAGTGTGAGGTGGAAGGTTCAGGATTGCGAGTTTATCGTGAGTTTAATTTATCTGGACGTACTAGAATTTGAGTGTACACAAACATTCAATTTGACTTGTGGGTTTAGATCAAAAAACATATGCGTTCCCCCAGATAGTTAGAGTGAGACATGCTAGGTCTTATATAGCTTACATTTTCCCTCCCCCACGGTTTGTTTGCTATTTGCTTTATGCAGTGTTCCCTGAAACTGAGTAAGCAGAAATGTGATAAAATAAGACTTGCTTGCCAACTGTCATGTCTGGCTAGAACCCTTGCTGTAGGATCACTGCATGACCTATAATTTTTAAGACACCGTGGTGGGATATATTAAAAATAGAGGTAATTATCTTCAGCAGGAAGGACTATTGAGTCCTATTTCATTTGTACTTTTTATAAAGCCAGATAAATTTTTTTATGTCTTTCTTATAACTATAATACAAGTATTATGGAACTTACATAAATAGAAACCTTTCAAACACTCAACATCTTATTATGAAGAATTACAGGTATCCATCTCAAAAGCCAGCTCTATCATGTGGTAATATTTGTAAGTTAAGCAAAAAAAATTTTAAAGATTTATTTTATTTACGAATGCATACAAGAGCTGGAGTATAGGCGAGAGGTGGAGATGAGAGGAATCACCAGACAGAGAGGGGAGCAGAACAGGCAGATGAGGGGAGCAGCTGGTGAGCCTGGGGAGGTCTGCTGTGCTATATGGATCAGATCCCTGGGTGGGGATTGAACTTGTGTTGTAGTGACTGTGGATAGATTCCTAGTGCTGTGCTTTCACCAGTTGCATGACCAGGGAGGGCCCTGTTCCTGTTTTTTAATATATTTTTAAAAAAGATTTTATTTACGGCCCTCCCCGGTGGCGCAGCGGGTTAAAGCACAGCACTGAGAAGCTAAAGCCGCTTCCGCGTGAGTTCGATCCCCGCCTGCCCCGGAGGTGACCACAGGGCGTGGCAGACCTCTCCTGACCCGCCCGCTGCTCCCCTCAGCAGTGGACTTCGTTGATCTGCCTGTTCTGCTCCCCACTCTGTCTCTGGTGAAGCCTCTCACCGCCCCTAAGCCTCTGGCCTGTACCCCAGTTCTGTATGCACAAATTAATAAAAATAAATCTTTAAAAAAAAAAGATTTTATTTACTTATGCATACAGAGATGGGGTACAGGCCAGAGGCTCAGGGGTGGCGAGAGGATTCCCCAGAAACAGCGAGGGGAGCAGAACAGGCCGAAGTCCACTGCTGAGGGGAGCAGCTGGTGACACAGGAGAGGTGAGCATGTGGGTCACCTCCGTGGCAGGGATTGAACTCCCAGTGATGGGGCCACAGCTTGTCTGAGCTTCGCAGTGCAGCGCTCCAACCCACTGGTCACCAGAGAAGGCCGGTTTTTTAATATTCTTAAACAATGCTTCTAAGAGTCTTTCTTTTTGGAGAGAGGCCTTAAATTTTATTTTTCTTCTCAAGTGCATTAAACATTCCAAAACTTAACCATCCACAAGTACTTACAAGTTTTTAATGATTCTATAAGTTTCCAACAGGACTGAATTATTTTTCATGATATAAATGAAAATCATAATTGCTTTTTGTTGTAATGATAGACCAGCTTGTGGAATAACTTCACAGATACTTAACGTCTTTTCAGAATTTTATCAGTAACTTTAAAAAAGGCCACAGACTTTTATTACATTTTTTGTTTTTATAGCTATTAATTATAAACTGTGGTAATGTTAGAAGTACTAAGCTTATTATATTTCATAGGCATTCATATTCTATTTCATTTATCAGACCTACTATTGAGTTCTGAAATGATATTTAACTTTAATTATCTGTCCGACAGCTATTTGTTCGGGATTTTCTGACATCCTTGTTAATTTCTGAACCGTGTTTTATTTCCCCTCCGGGGTCGCCTTCTGTCGTTTCTTACCGCACTTGGTGGCGTCGTTCGTGTCCTGTATCATCTACCATCTGCGAATAGCGATCGGTTCTTTTCTTTTCTGACCGAGATTCTCCGTATCTCTTGCTGTTTTCTGATAACTCTGGCCAAAACCCCTAATACTAAGTTAAAAAGACTTGGTGAAGCCATCCGGTATTTCTTTTTCTTTCTCCCTGGCCTGTCCCCTGCGCTCCATCCCGTCCGCCCCGTCCACGTCTCTGCAAATGGCGCGCGTTGCCCTCTCCGACTGCCGAGGGGTACCCCACTGTGCACACGCACCCCACCTTCTTGCCCGTCCTCTGCTTTGGGGCATTGAAGTAATAAAGTAAAACCCAAACCAGCAGACAGCTATAAGCCAGAGAATCCTGCAGAGGGCAAAGGGAGGAAAGATCAAAGCGACGGCGGGAAGGGCGCGGCCTGCGTGGTGGCTCGGGAGTGGGGGAGCCCAGGGGCTGCGCCCAAGGTGAAAAGGCGCAAATAACGGTATATCGATAGTTACATAGAATAGACTTGGTAAACAGTGGGCGTCCTTGCTTTGTTCCTGATCTTTATTTCAGGTTTTCACCATTAAGTATTCTGTCGGGTGTGGTTTGTAACTCATGAACCTTTACTTTATACATTTATTTTTTCTTTCAATCTTAGAGTTTTAATCACAAATGGGTATGGAATTTTGCAAATGCTTTCTCTGCATCTGTTGATTTTATATGACTTTCTTTACTTTTGTTGATACAATACAGTGTACTGATTGACTTATGCATACTAAACTATTATTGCATCCGTAGAATAAATCCCACTTGGTCATGATGCATATTATTTGGGACAGGTTGTGGAATTCAACCTGCTAGTATTTTGTTGAAGATATTTGTAGTAATGTTCATCAAGTATATAATTCTCTTTTTTATGCCATCTTTACCTGACTTCTGTAAGTAGGTATTATTATTATCATCAGTGTATTTGAAATATTGTCATTCCTTGTGTTTCTGAAACACACAGCTGGCACAGAAATACAAAGAACAAAGAGATTACTATGAGCAACTATATGCCAGTAAAATCAAGAACCTTGAAGACGTGGACAAATATTAAGATTAAAATAACTTACCAGGACTCAGCCAGAAACAGGAGAGTTGAGCGAACCAGTCACTGGGAACTGAAACAGCAATAAAGTTTTGAAAACAAAAGCCCAGACAGCTTTGCAAGGTTATATTAAACTCGAACAAGAACTAATGCCCATCATACTCCAATTGTGTTTTAAAAAATACAACCCAGAGTAGTTACCCAGCAAATATTTATTGAATAAATGATTTTTTAATTGTTTTGTGTGAATCTTCCGTCGAACTCTACTTTGGGCGCTCCTTGAGGGAATGTGGCGCGCGTTGGCGCACTCCTGCCCGGCCCAGCCGTCCTCGGAGGGGAGGCGGAGGCGATACCTCAGCCGCAGCCCAAGGGCCGCCGCCTCCCAGCGCAGCGCAGCCGGGCGCCCGCTCCCTGCGGCCCAGAGTGTCATCTGGGTCCCTGGGCCCAGCCAGACTCCGTGAGGCAGGAGGGGCCGGGCGGGCGCCCGTGCACACGCAGGCCCACGCGGCCTGGCGGCGAGTGACGTGTGGCTCTGGTCTGCGTGGCACCCCAATAAACAGGCATTCTGAACAAGACTGTTTCCTCCCCTGCGACCCCCAGGGCAAGTTAGACATGCTAAGTGGTATGTTCCAGTTAGGAAGGACTTCTGTGTGTTCCTCCTTATTAAGAATTTCAAATGTAGGGATTGAAATTGTGTGTTGAGAGTGCCCAGTTGAAGTAACATAGTTTTTATTCCCTCTTTTACAGAGCTCCTGGTAGCGGAATATCACAAAAAAATCAAAGAGGCTTTTGAAGTGTTCGACCATGAGTCAAATAATACAGTGGATGTGAGGTTTGGAAATGTTTTATTTTTTTTAACTCTAAATCACTGATACAACTCAGATGAAGGTTATTTTCTTTCTGTATGTCTTAGGGCTACTATGCTATTTACAAATATTTATTTTCCTGTGACCTGTTGATGTTTTTGCTAACTCTTGCATCCGGTCAGTACTGTTTCTCACTCTTGATAGTGCAGTGAAAAGAACATGTATCTTCATTGTCTCTTCCAACCTAGAGACTGTAAATTCTATAAGTTGAACTCTACCGTGGCTTTAATACTAGACACTTATTTGGCATCCATTATAATAGTTGTTCAGTGAATAATTAGAATTTACCTTTAAAACACATTTTACAGGGGTGGGGTGGGGAGCGGGATCAGCAATGGGGGTGTGCATGGGATTATGGTGATGGCACACGGGTGACTGGGTGATGGGAAGCCCACGGGGATTGCAGCTGAGATGGGAAGAGGCACAAAATGATGCAAAACATAAATTCATATAGTAATTAAAAACCACATAGGTGTATATTTTCGATGGGATGTTATATAAAAGATGAAGACTGCTTTCCGCAATGAATCATTACCTCAGTAAATAATGAAAGACCAAGACAGAGGATCATAGAAGGTGGGAGAAAGGTACAGAACTGGTAGATATAGGATGGAGGGCAGGAGACAAGCAGAGCTTGAGACTAGGAAGAGACAGAAGAAAAGGCAAGAGGCACAGGCACTTCCACTTGAGTATAGAGGCTTGGAGTGCTCAGAGCCACCGGCGTCAGACGGGCGACAGCATCCTGCCAGGAGGCCCGGCTAAGGGGACCGCTTGGTAGGGAGACAGTCTCAAGGCTGGGGCCGAGTACAGAGGCCGGCAGAGAGGTGGAATGTGACTGACACGGCACTAGACGGCCGCTTGATGTTCACAAGCCAACACCGTGGCTTCCAGGCCTTCCAAGGGAGTAGTTAGGGCGAATGAACCAAGGAAGCTTTTATTTATGACAAGTTGTATTTGCATTCTTAGTTTTTCACACCTGAAGGTACAGGTGTGGCTGAAGAAAGGATACTAGGAAGTACTATCAGTTTCATTAGTTTTATTTTTTTAAGATGTATTTATATATGCACACAGAACTGGGGCACAGGCAGAGGTGAAGGGGTGAGAGGGTTCCCAGAGACAGAGCGGGGCGCCGGACAGGCCGACTGACGAAGTCCACTGCTGAGGGGAGCAGCGGGGAGACAGGAGAGGTCTGCTGCTCCCCGTGGGTCACCTCGGGGCCGGGGGTTGAACGCGCACGGAAGTAGCCGTGGCTAGTTCGTCATGCTGTGCCCTCACACCAGGTAGGTGGCCCCACCAGCGAGGGCCTGTTTCATGACTTTATAGTAACACTTTATGTAATTTTGTTTTATGCCACAACTATTTGTATGGATCTTACTTGGTGGACAGAGAGGAGAATGGAGTAAATTCCAACTCTCGCTGCAGTTGACCTTGCGTGAGCCTTGCCTCAGCCACTTAACCGAGGAAGTATGAGGGTGACCGGGGGCCTGCAGCCCTTGATGGCTCTGTGAGGGACACTCCCTGACACACTCCTGTGCTCGAGTAGCCCAGCAGGAGAGATGGCAGAACACTGGGGAGGGGTTTGGGAGAGGGGTGGGAGCAAGCAGCTCTCCTCTAGGTGACACCATTTCAGTCTACTCACTGACAGGGATGGAGGGGGGTGTGGGGCGAGGCAGGGAGAGGTGTTGTTAGGAAAGTCAGGGAAAGCAGAAGACTGGGAGGGCTTTGTGAGGAAAAAAGGAACGGGAAAGAAACCAACATGTACTTAAGGATTGCGGTCTGACAAACTCCTTACCGTGAGTGCTGGATTTGCATGCACTACCTCAGTGTGGTCTTTCTCTTTGGTGAGAGTTAGTATTTCTAGTTTTTAGAGACAGGGGAAGGGACATGTTTGCCTGAGGTTACATCAGGGTCTTCTCATCCCCTCACACACTTCCCCTGTAGGCTTCCTGACAGTAGCAGTGGAAAGCTCTCCTAAATCCCTGGGCCTTTTTGGGGTAATAGGACCAAATAAGGAAAAATAAAGATGTTTATGAGATTCATCTTTTTCCAATTCAAAATTAAAATAATTTTACCAAGGCCCTGAGGGAAAGTGTATGTTGTTTCAGCCTAAATTGTGTACTTTATTAAATAAAGAAGGTTACTAAGAAAATTGAATTGTTTTTAGCACTAAAATATTAATGCTAAGCATATTTCTATAGCAGTAACATGGATGAATGCATCTTTTCCATCTTTATTCCTTCTGTTAAGATGTAAAGCACTTCAGTGTTTATAATGAGTGCTCACAGGTTGCTGGCCTCATTACCATTCACTCTTTATAAATAATCAGAAATTAGGGACAGAAGCAAAATGCCTCCCCCTGGCCGCGAATCTCTCCTGTTTGGGGAGCTGCAGCGGTTCCCTTCGGCCTTGGGAGACAGAGCAAGGCCTTTCCTGCCTTCTCGCCCTGCCAGGCGCTCTCTGTAAGCCTAGCTGGAATTGATGTTGACATGTGATTAAAAGTCTAAATAGACTTTTTCTTTTATCCAAATTGTGAAAGTTTGCTTATTTACTTGTTGAATCAGGAGCTTACCTGCTTTCAAGGTCCTACATTTTCCAGAGTCGGGGCTAGTGTCGGCTGTGTGTTAGGATCTGCTGCTTTACCTTTCAGTCTTATACTAGGTGAATATTATATTAATTTTTATCACTTTATACTCCTTAATATCCAGCAGAGTGACTCTCTTTATTACTTTTACTTTTAAGCTTTGTAACAATTAATTAATTTAGTTTCTTAGGTGAACTGGGGCACAGGCCCGAGATGCAGGGGGTGAGAGAATTCGCCAGTGACCGAGCGGAGAGCCGAACAGGTGGACGGGCTGAAACACACAGCTGCAGGCTGGATAGGAGAGGTCTGCTGTGCCCTAAGTGGGTCACTCCCTGGCCGGGGATGGACCTCAGGCCACAGCCCTGACAGCTGAGACCTCGCCCAGGCCGCCAGGGAGGCCCTGCGAGCTGCTGGCTGTATTCTATATCATGACTGTGTAGACCGGAGCAGAGTCTGGACGGAATGAGTTTAGAAGCTTGTGGGATGGTGGTTTGGGCAGGGAGAGGGTGTCTCCTGGAGAGGCTTGGGGCATTTGTGGTCCCCCCTTCACAGCCCTGTTCCCCAGGGGAGGGAGAGAGGGAGGTGCCTTTTCCACTGTAGGGCACACTGGGGCCCTCCTGCAGGAATTTGCGAGGCTGCGGCTCCTTCCCCTGCTCACTGGCTTGTGCAAATGGAAAGCTTTCATCTTAAATTCCAGCCTGTGGGCTGGAGCTAGGGCCTCGGCCTTGCTCCCTTTCTGAGGCGCCGCCCTGAGGTTCCATCTCCCGCTGGCTCTGTGATTAGGAGCAGCCTAGCTATCCTTTCTGCGCCTCAGTTTTCACATTCTGTCATGGGCATGATGTCAGTAAGTCATTCTCAGAGCGTCGCTAGACAGCCTGTGTGTCTCCAGGACCATTTCAGGATGTGTGAAGTCAAAACCATTTTCTCAGTAAATCTAAGACAGTATTTGCTATTTTAATTCTCTGTTTCACAAGCATGTGTTTGAATTTTTCAAAAGCTGCACAGTATATAATGCAACAAATTGAATGCGGAACCAGATGAGAAAATTCAGCTGTCTTCTGTGAAACCTGACATGAAAGAGCTTTTGCAAGTGTGTAAAACTGTCACTTTTCATACTTATTTTTAAAAAATAGTAGCTGAATTTCATAAAATTGCTTTTTTATATAAACATAAAGTGGGCTTATTATTTCTGAATGAAAAACTTTTCAAATTTGAGGTTTAATTTCTAATATATGACTCATATAGGTTCATGTAACTCCCTCATATCAGTACAAATTCTTCAAAACTCTCAATAACTTTTAAGTGGTTCTGAAACCCAAAAGTTTGCAAACTTTTGTTGCACCAGACATTTTTTTTTATTACAAAAGTTTATTTTTACATCATTTTGTACACAGACTTTTTTTTTTTTTAAGATTTTATTTATTCACATAGAACTGGAGTATAGGCCAGAGATGCGGATTCACCAGAGACAGAGCCGGGAGCAGAACAGGCAGCTAGATGAAGTCCACTGCTGAGGGGAGCAGCGGGCGAGTCAGGAGAGGTCTGCCGCGCCCTGTGGTCACCTCCGGGGCAGGCGAGAATCGAACTCATGCTGAAGCGGCTTTAGCTTCTTAGTGCAGCGCTTTAACCCCCTGAGCCACCAGGGAGGGCCTGCACCAGACATTTTTAAAAGCTCTTAGAAGAATATTTTCCCCCATCTTTTCAGGCAACTTATTAATATTTTTTCATGTCCCCTCAGATATCTTCAGGTAAAATATATTTTAAATCTATATATATTTAGACAACTTAGAATTTAATTATTTATATGTTGTTAAAATGCTTAGAAACTTGTTCATCAAGTTATATTTAGGAGTTTTTTCTATTCTTCAGACATGGCATCTATTTGGGGAGGAGTTCTTTTTAAAAACTACTTTTTGGGGCCCTCCCTGGTGGTGCAGCGGGTTACAGCACAGCACTGAGAAGCTAAAGCCACTTCCTCATGAGTTCGATCCCCGCCTGCCCCGGAGGTGACCCCAGGGCGTGGCAGACCTCTCCTGACCCGGCCGCTGCTCCCTCAGCAGTGGACTTCGTCAGTCTGCCTGTTCTGCTCCCCGCTCTGTCTCTGGTGAATCCTGCACCTCTGGCCTGTACCCCAGTTCTGTGTGCATAAAGAAATTATTTTAAAAAACTACTTTTTGATGTTGACTTTGTTTTTAGCACAAACAGTGAGATAGTATGCAAGTATTCTGCCCTTTTTTTTTTTTAATATTTGGTGATTATTACTGAATGATGATAATTACTTGTAACCTGGTGACTGTTCTTATTTTTATGGACGGACCATAATGTATTGGATCAGACTCCAGTCAGTGGGTCTTGGGCTGTCTCTAGACTTTTCCCATAATAGTC